ACATCACTGCATGGATGCTGGGAACCAAACCCAGGTCCTCTGCAAGAGCAGCCAGTGCTCTTAATGTGGGTCGTGTCTCTACCCCCTTAACTGTTATTTGAACTTGCATTTGTTTTGATCACTAATAAGGTTGAGGGTTGCTTTTCATGGTCTATTGGTCATTTATATTTTTTTTTATGAGATTTTCAAAAATTTAACGTATGTCTCCACATTACTGATAGTAACCTTCTGTCATATCATTAGTTTTAAGAGTTTACTTAAGTTTCTCCAAAGTTTGTGTTTATATTTAGACCTTTCATTCTTTTCTTATTTTGATTTTTAAAAAGCATTTGAGGATTGACCCAGGTGGAGTTGATATTATTGTAGAAGAGATGACATTAATCAACTATTTCTTGTGTGGCACTGATTTATGATGATTATTATACACTAAAATGTTGTTTATCTGGGTGTCTCTGACCTTTATTCTTTGCCACATCAAATATAATTAGTTTGGCAATGCTTGCCCCCATCCATATTCTGTCTATTATTATCTTCTTAGCTACTTTACTATTCAGTAAGACCATTTGGTTGAACTTTCATGGACCGTATCAGGAAAGGCCTTCTTTTGTTATCAAACTTTCCATTTGGTTCCTAGAGTGCTGTCATACAAACCAAGCTTCCAGACTCTTGGTGTTGAAAAGCAGGGTCACTTATGATCACATTTGTTCATGGTCAGGAGGAACAGCCAATGCTCCCAGATCAGAGTGTGAATGGTAATTGATTCAATATTTGTGCAGAGTGAGTGCAGTGTTTGGCATGATGGACTCTCCTTTCCCCTTTCAGCCAGGGGCTTGCCATGGTGCCCAGACTGGGCTTCAAGCCCTGCCCTCAGCTGACTATAGACGGGACTACAGCCATGGGCTCCAAAGCCAGCTGAGTGTTCATGGGAGCCTCCAAGGGCTGGTTCTGACATCTCTCTCTCTGCCAACGTGTTCTAAACCCACAAAGCATGTTGAAACAATCATCCATCTGTCTGGTGAATGCTAAGAAACACTAGCTTCCACTCACAATGACATTTCGTTTCTCCTGTACCAGCCCAAGAGTACTGAGCACAAGGATCAATGTGGGGACTTCCGGAGTCCTTGTCCTGCTAGCTTTGGCTGCTGTTGAATTGAAAAAGCTGAGGTCCAGCTAGATGGAGCTGGCAACTCGGGGCTGATGATTTCAAACCCATGGAGAGGGGAGGGAGGTTTGGAGGTGGTGTTTGTTGGGAAAGGCTGGATCGGAGTTCTGGTTGGGGCTGACACTGTCGTGTCCCAGCCTCCATGTAGCAAACATCTAGTAGCTGAAGCCTGCCATAAGGACAGCTGGGTCCCTCCCACCCCCAGAGTAACAACATTCAGTCTCAAGCGGTATGCTAGTTGGCTTTTGTCAACTTCACACACACCTGCACTTATCTGAGAAGAGGGAACCTTCCACTGAGAAAATGCCTCCGTAAGATTGGCCTGTAAGCAAGTCTGTGGGCATTTCTTAACTAGTGAATGAAGCGTGATCCTAATTAGTCTTATCAATAAAAACCAGGAGCCAAATATTGGGGTAAGAACTGAGATCAGAGAAGCAAAGGAGCGGCCACCAGTGACTTCCTACCTCTCCAGATCCTCAGACCGGGAGGGGCCCTGAGATCCTGTCTCCACCTCCCGAGTGCTGAGATTAAAGGCGTGAGCCTCCCAAGGGCTGGAATTAAAGGTGTGCGCCACCACTGCCCGGCCTCTATGGTTAACGAGTGGCTAGCTCCCTGCTCTCACCTCCAGGCAAGCTTTGTCAGAACACAAACAAAACATCACACAAGTGAATGATGTGGGAGGACCCTGACCATGGTGGGTGGTGGCACCCCCGGGCAGGTGGCCCTGGAGGGCCAAAGAGGGCAGGTTAAACAAGCCAGTCCCGTTCCTCCATGGCCCCTGCTTCGGTTCTCGCCTTGATTTCCTTGCTTTTTCTTCCTTTAGTTTCTCCTGATTTCCTTCAATGCTGGACTGTGACATGGAGTTGTAAACCGGAACAAATCCTCTCCTCCCCAAGTTGTTTTTAGACGCAGTGTTTTATCACAGCAACAGAAATCCTAACTAGCCGGGCGGTGCATGCCTTTAATCCCAGCACTCGGGAGGCAGAGCCAGGTGGATCTCTGTGAGTTCGAGGCCAGCCTGGGCTACCAAGTGAGTTCCAGGAAAGGCGCAAAGCTACACAGAGAAACCCTGTCTCCAAAAAGCAAAAAGCAAAAAAAAAAAAAAAGTCATCTGAATATGTGTTAGTGTAAATTTACTAAACACAAGTGTGCTTGCCATGAGTAGGCACATCTTCAACTCCAGAACTCAGGAGACAGAGGCAGAAAGACCCTAAGTGTGAGGCTAGTCTACCTAGACTACATGAAGAGACTCTGGCTCAAAAGACAGGCACCGGAGCATGCACGAGGACACCCCCCCCCCACACACACACACACCAGGTTCTTTCACCTGGGTACAGATGAAATTCTACCAGTTCCAGCCATGCTCAGGGGTCCTCCTCCTGGGTCTCAAGTGATGTCCCAGATCCTGAGAATCTGGAACAGTTCAAGAGGAATTTATCCTGACCAACCTTGATTGCAGAAGTTGATGAAATACACAATTCTGTAAAACATTGGACTTACCTGAGACACATCACTTCCTCCTCTTATGACCCTAGTTTCTCACTGATAAAACATGGGGAGACATAAAGCTATCCTGGAACATGCCAGAAATGCTATCTTAGAAATAAAACACTGCTTGAAACAGTGCAGCTGTTAAAATGATGCTAAACAGATTTAAGAAAGAAAAAAATCGTCTTGTTTCCTGAGTCCCTTGAAGACACTTATAATCAAGTATGAAACTGTTTAGGGGAGAGGCACAGTTAATCTGGACCCCAAACACAGTGCTCCGACAGTAGTAATCCCTGACACAACACTCCAGGAAGCTATCCAAAGGTCCCAGCCCTGTCACCTGGTGATGTGGGAACCTGTTAGCTTTCTCTGCACGACCCCGAACATCCTGAAATGCAGGTGATCTGCATGATATTTGTCAATAAATTAATTATTCCTATCACAGCTAATTAGTAGCGGCCAATAGAGTAAAAAGAAGTTATAGTTTGCCATCTGATTTCCTGAAAGTTGTATGTGTATACAGACCTATGTAATATATAAAATTACATACATACATATAATCATTTTGAGTTCCATAATTTTAGATTGAAAAACTTCCTTTAATCTACTTATTTTGTGTAAGCATGTGTGCACATGTGCATGCACGTATGCATGCCATGGTACATTTTTGTGGAGGTCAGAGGACGATACATTGGAGTTGGTTTTGTTCTTCCGTGTGGGCTCCAGGGCCTGAACTCGAGTCATGGGTCTCAGCAGCAAGTACTTTTGCCCAGTGAGCCATCTTGTTGGCTCTTGAGTTCTGTAACTTGGGATGGCACCGTGTTAGAGGGAGTTTTGAATTGGGCACTTCTAAAAACTGGGCATTTCACAGGCAAGCAAATGGACAACATTGGAGGTTGCCGGTTTCTTCAGACAGAACCGTATTCAGTCTGCTGCTGTTCTCATGCACAGTACTTAGCATTTCCATTGAAGTTTGAACTACCGAACCATTCTAGTTTCTAACTCCTACCTCAGGTAATACCAAAGAATGGGGAAGGAGACCTTGTGGTCTAGATTAGGGTTAAACAATTTAGTCCTTAGAACCTAAAGAATGTGAATGGAAAGAAAGCTAATTCAATATGGCAGAGATAAAATGTTTTTAATAATGATATTCTTCCTCGATTTCACAGAGTAATACTTGTTGGTTCTGAAATGCATTCTAGTGGCAGGGCTTTCATTGTGGTAATCGTACTTTCTAAAGATTTGTTTTTAACTGTGTGTGCCTCTGTGTAGGCACATGCGTAAGGGTGCAGGTGCCTGCAGAGGCCACAAGAGGGCACTGGACCACCTAGAACTGGAGTTAAAGACAGCCCTGAGCTGCCTGACATGGGTGCTGGGAACTGAACTTGGGTTCTCTGCAAGGGCAGTACCCACTCCTAACTGTGGAGCCAGCCCTCCGGCCCCAGCAACTGTATTGTTCCTCTGGTAACTATGGACACTCTCCTACTAAAGGAAAAGCACTTACTTTCCCATGGTAATGGCCCCAACAACTGCCTGTCAAACGTTTCAAAAATCAGAACCCCATGCAAACAGGGGTAACAAGTAGAATGTTGCTCCCTAAAGCATTGGAAAGTTTCAAGGGATCTGCTTGCGGTTACCACTCCCTACAAATGTGGGACTGAGCGCAAGGCACAGGACACCAGAGCTTTAGAAAGAGGGGAGAGTATCAGCAGGGTGTCCCTGTCTCTCAGCATCTTCTCTGGTCCAATCTCTGGGTAACTGAGGAAAAGGCCCTTAGTGAGGAGGGCAACTGTGTCCAGTGAGTGAAGAACACTGAGGAAGTCGGGGGTAAGAGGTAGCACACATTGACTTCAACGGGCTAGTGCTGTTTCACTGATCATTACCTGTTTGCTTCTGGAAGCTTCCATAGGCACCTGAATGATCTCTCCTGGTCACTGTGTATCTAATTTCAAGAAGTTAAAACCTTCCCTTGTGAGGCCATTCCACAGCAACCCCTACAACCAGCGGGTAGCTCTGATTGTTCATAAACAGATGACCTTGGACGTACATTTCTTTTTTTGGGGGGGGGGTGTTTCAAGACAGGGTTTCTCTGTGTAGCTTTGCACCTTCCCTGGATCTTGCTCTGTAGCCCAGGCTGGCCTCGAACTTCACAAAGACCCGCCTGGCTCTGCCTCCCGAGTGCTGGGATTAAAGGCATGTGCCACCACCGCCCGGCTGCTACCACCGCCCAGCTGGACGCACATTTCTGCCGTCATCTGACAAGGTAGCCCTGAGCCAAGAGCCGTGAGACTCTCTGCTCCCCAAGAAGAATTATCCTACTCCCCCCAGAAATAACAAAAGCAATACCAAGTGGATTTGAGTATTTTATTTATAAATGTACATTTACTATAAAAGCTGTTGCATTTTAGACAACTTTTCATTTTTAATTTTTTTTAAACTATTTCTCAGAGGCATTTTTAGAATAAATATTGTAAATGGAAGCTAGTGTAATTGATACAGAATGTTGCCCACCCAGAACAGGAACATCTTTTGGATGGACTCACATCAAAAGGTGGATTACTTCGGCTCACTGAATCTTACGCCGTACACGGTAACTAGAATACGGGTCATGTTAATGACACTACACAGAAAGAAGGACAGATGTTATGAAAGTTTGCTAGTGAGAAACAGAGTCACCGTTCTTGTTCTTGGGAAGGAAGCATTTGGAGTCTGCAGGGGAGAATCAGCTACAGTCCCCCAGGAACAATAAATCACTCACTTGCCCCGTCTGGTTTATAAACAAACACATTTACATTATAGCTCCACACAACAGCGCATTTTTTCCCTGGGATCTCAAAGATTATTTGAAGAGAAATAGATCATAGTCTTCTATGCTGCCTTGGAGAACAACAAGATCTAGTCTGCCGAAGCTGCCATGTAACTGGCCCTAAATGAAATATAAATCAAATAGAAATAGAAACAGTTGGCAATTAGAATTTAGAAAATGCTGGAGATTATTCCAGGCTGGTGACTAGTGTTCATTACGGGAAAGCATGCTCCGCCTGGGAATGGGGCTTGATTCCTCCTGACTCCAGTCTGGCTTCAGTACATGTACAATGCGTCTCACTAAGAAATATGTAAAAACGGCTTTGTGAAACCAGAAGAATGTGCAATACTCATGTGCTCCTGACAGAATGGATGGCCTCGCGCACGGAAAAAGTATTCTATAAAAGTTGCTTATGAATGACCGTATTGTACATGTTTTGTGCATCGCTTCTCGTAAAGTACTCTGTTAATATCATGCAAAGTGTAAACATCCACATTATTAAAATAGTTAATAAAACATGCAGGTGCTTCATCAAAATATTGGACTTGATCTGTACATTTTCAAAACTTTTCTTTTTCTTTTTAAATTTTTCCTTTTTTTATTTGTCTTTTAAAATCTTTTATTTATTTATTTTTTTCTTGTAAAGCAGCAAACACCTTTGAGAGAACTCATGGGAACCGGGAAGTGACGTCATTTCCCTTCGGTGTTCTGGATCTGCCATTCATCGCTATGTGCAACAGCTTTGCATTTTCTAAGGCACAATTTTGAATGAAATGATGTGTGAATTTCAATCCAATAACAGCTCGTCCAAATGACAAAGTGGTCAATATGCCTCCAGCGGCCAGGAGATGCCTGCACCTATAAAGAACCCACATGCAAAGAACCGTCTAGCTTGGAAATAAATAATTGCTAGCCATACTCCGTAAGACACAGAAAAAATTATTGCTTTACATAACAGAAAAACATCTACTTGCTCTCTCTCTATGCTACATTAGCCTACTAGGAGTGTATCCATAGTCTACATTCACCTAACAGCGTCGTTACTTGGTTGCCATCCTTTTAAGGCAGAATAAATAGTTCCCCTTTCCCCAGTCTTAAGGAAAACAGCCTGGAGAGCTAAGTCATGCTGGTTTTAGCCACTTCATGCCTGTCGCGTCCAGCTGAAACTTATCACATAGGGCAGAGAAATAAACCACATCTCCGCAGGCATCCCTTTCTAAACTCCACGGGTCAGGTCCAGAATTCTTGAGAGCAAAGAAGGCGACGTGGGAGAAGGAAGGTGCCCACAGGTCCACGGGAGTGGGCAGGGCACCGTCCGCCTTGGTTGCGGCCGCTTACCGACCAGGCTGCGGGCTTGTCACGCCGCCGTGCCATCTGGGCTCTGTGAGGATCGACTTAATGCTTCTCTTTGGATACCTGGGCGTCAGCCCCCAAGGCAAGCTTGCAGGCGAAGATGAGATGTGCCCATTCCTAAAGGTAGACTGTCCTCGATGCCTAACACCCACATCCTCACACCAAGCCCTCAACAAGCCCTAACCCGGTGCTTGGAGAAAGCAGGCGGTCCACGCCTCAAGGCTACCACTGACACACGGGCAGGGTAGACTATCCTTCCTCACAGATTTTACAGTAAGTCTGAAGACAACGGCTGGTCTGTTTCCCTCCTGCTTCTTCCTACCTTTGGACAGTGTCACAGAGGGGAAGTCTAGCAGTCTGGAAAGGGCTCTCTTCATTTGCTGGACCAGCCTCTATTAATGACTTGACTTCCAGGGTACACAAAATCTAATACTAGCAGTGGGATAGTTTATTGGTAGGATTTCTGCCCCCAAAGGTAAGTAACACAAATGTTCTCAGGAGTACAGTATATACTATCAGACTAGTGTCTTTGCATTAAAAAACAAGTTACAGTTCAGAGTCAGAGCTTTCTGGGGTGTCGAGTTTTTCTGAAATGCATTCACTTTATGCTCCTGTCTTACGTTGGCATGTCTTGCACTTCCTGAAGCTCAATTCTGTAAACATGACATGTTTAATTTCTAGAAATACTAAAACACAACAGGTTTATTGCACCCTTTTGCTATTTCCCAAAGAAGAGAAAAACAACTTTTCAGCCATAAGTCTCTCTGCCCATGCTAAAACCGTTTTTTTTTTCCCCCGTTAACTGTTCAGGATCATTACAATGCAATATTCTTTTGTATATACTGTGCAAATGCAGAAAAAAAAATCAGCCCCCAACCAGAAAAAAGCACAAACATTGTGCTACAATACAAAAGAGCAGATACCACCTTGTAGCAGAATCTCCCAGAAATTAGATGAATGCTGAGAAGCCCCTGAACTTGGGGTTTAATTAAGCAGTTGCCAAGGGACACCCTTAAAAAAATGATGCTCAGTGATCCAGAAGCTCCCAACCACATCACAGTGTTGTAGGTTGGCCAGCACCTGCGGCGAGAAAAACAGAAACTTGGGTTAGTCTCATTCCGTATGTTTCAAAACTCTCAAGTCAGCAGCCACCCTTGCCAAAGTCTCTTCCCACAGGAAGCGGAGTCTTGCCCCCCCTGAATGCTTTTGGCATCATCTCTGGGCACGGAATGTGGCATCCCATGGGTTTTTGTTAGAACACAGCTGTGAGCTCAGCCCCACACAGCCAGGTGTGCAGGTGGTACCGATGCTTCAAGCCTGATGTAAGGACTCTGGATTTCCCCTAAACCAAAAGACTCCCCATCAAGCTTTCCAGTTTGTCCTTTGGGACACATTAGCAAGAACTTTTTGTTGTTGTTGTTTTTTTTCTTTTTGAGGTCTTAGGTCAAAGAATCAGCCCACTGAAACTGGAGGAATCTAAATGATCTAAAAAAACAGACTGCTGGATTGAACAGGTAAAATACAGAACACCTAATAAATCTGACTTCCAGATAAATACACATTTTAAACGTGTAAGTATATCCCATGTGATATTTGGGACACACTTGTGCTAAATCTGGAGCATGCAATATATATTGAGAGAATGATTATATATCTGAAATACAATGTGAAAAGTTATTGTTTAGCTGGGTGTACCAGTGCATGCCTGGAATCTCAGTACACGGGAGGTGGAAACAGGAGAATCAGAATCTTGGCTACACGGTGACTTGGAGGTCAGTCTGTTTGTGAGTTTGACTATCTCAAACCAGGCCACTCCCCCCCACCACCCCCCTTCCCCATACAGAATGGGGCACAGGACACAGCACGGTCGGATCCTTAGAACCCAGGTGAGTAAGTTTAAGATGATGACACACACTTGCAATTTCAGCAGTGGGAAGGCAGAGACTGGCAGATTCCTGAGGCTTGCTGGCCAGGCAGCCTAGCCAACTTGAGGCACAGACAGACAGACAGACAGACACACAGAGTGGACATCATCTAAAGAATGACAACTAAGGTCACCACCCCTGGCTTCCCATATGCATTTGAATTTTGTAAACACACATACCAAAAAAAACCAAACAAATAAAAAAACAAAACAAAACAAAACAAAAAACCCCCCAAAAAACAAAAACCTCCCCAAACCAACCAAAAACAATAACAAAAATGCATGGCTCTCTGTGAAATTCAAGTTTCAAACACTTCATTGAGCATCTTGTATTCTACCTGGTCACCCCATCTAGGGAGGGTTAAATTTCGAGTTCTTGTTGAAGCTTTCCCAAGGTATCTTCTTCATTTGAGGCACTCCAGTCATGATGAGGCGAACTTCACATTGGAAAGGCCCCGGGGGAGTTTGTGCTAAGTGCATTTCACCAGAGTGAATGATGGGACAGAATGCCATGTACGAAGACGGCCATCCAATGCCCAGGCGCAATCGGCACCAGTTAAACATGTGATGGCTGGAGTCCTGACGGGTAATTGGCTTTGCGCTCTCATTCCCATTTACATACGAACTTAAAAACTCCCTACGTGGCTTTTAGGGGCTGCATTTGAATATGCTTTATGCCATTTTTCCTCCAACAGAAAAAAAGTTCATTTAAATGTGACTAGTTACTTGGAGAAAAGAGGATTAAATATTCAGGTTTCATTATTCCACAGAATGAAGTGATTTTTGCTTTTGTGGAATGCCTCTGATGTAAGCCATATTTTCCATCAATCCATCTCCCTTCTCAATTCAAAGCAGGATTTTAAAAAAGAAGAAAAATCGCTGTCAGCCATCCTTCCCCCACGCCACTTACATCTGGGGATACAGTCAACCTGTCAAGTGTATTTATAGTTCTTCAGCTAAATGATTCCTACCCCATCACATCATTCCCGAGTACATTTATTTCTTAAGACAGCAAGGAGAGAGAGAGAGAGAGAGAGAGAGAGAGAGAGAGAGAGAGAGAGAGAGAGAGAAGTACTCTTATATACCCTGGTCTTTCCCCTTGACATGTGTTCATTTAATTAAAATTAGCCTAAAATGATACAAACATTTGTCTGGAAAAAAAAATCATGGGCAAGAGTTAAGAAAGCTTTGCGGGGGAAAAAAAGAAAGAAACTGGAATGTATGTGGCTATTATTAGTCAATCTTAAAACATATTATGAAGCTACAACAATTAAAACCACACAGTCATGGAACTTAAGTACATTAAAATATAATCATATATCCAGAAGCAGACTCAAACTCACAGGGAGCTCAGGAGAAAGCTAGTATTTCATATTAGTTAGAAAAAAAATGATTATGAAGTAATATTCATGCCATGGGCTAACTTACTGAATATCTGCCTAATTTTTATCTCCAAATACGTTCCTGAGAATCACACATTTACAGTCTGAAGGAAACTTTAGGGTAACTTTCAGCTAATCTTGTTTATACCTTTGGAACAGAAAGCGGTGCTTTCCCTGAGTAGGACATAAGGCCCAGAATTTTAAAAGGCAAAGAATTTGTATGTTTATTTAAAATGAAAGTCTTTTGCATGGAAATAAATCACAAAGTGAAAAAAAATTAGAATTGCAGCATGCAGCAAATGTCACACCGGGAAAACGTCTAACTTGCAAAGTCCTTCAACAGAGCAGGTTCCGGCCAGAGGAACAAAGGACAGAGAACCACATTACAGAAAAATAAACACAAATGGAGGGAAAAAAAACCACACAGGGAAAGAGGCTTAAACTCAGAATTAAAAATACGCCTCTGGGGCTAAGGGGAAGCCTCAGATGGTAAGTGTGTACATACAACCAGCTGCGTGTGGATCCCCAGTGTCCACACAGAAGCCAGACATGGTAGTGGCATGTCTGTATTCCAACACTGGGGAGTGGGGTAGAGACAGGTGGGTCTGTGGAGGTCGCTGACCAGCCAGGGCAGTTGAAACAGTGAACCTGGCGGTTCAGTGAGAGACCCTGTCTCAAAAAGTATGATGAGGAGTGACCGTGGAACACATGTGTTGCCGACCTCCACTCACACATATATTGCACACACATTTACACCAAACCCATACCCACCTGCTACATATCTAAGGAATACAAGCTCCTCCCTGCCTAGCAGAGTGGGTTTTTCCATTTCCTTTTTTCTTCTTTTTTTGGTGCTGGTTCTCATGCACACTAACCAAGCACTCTGTCCTGAGCTACACTGACAGCCCAGGGGTAAAAGTTTAACAGATGATCATCTGAAGAGTTGCTATCAGCAGAGAAGAAGAGGGAGGATCCCCATGCACTCTGTACGGAGGACTCGTTTGTTTTCAGATAATAATCAGGCAAGATGTCTGAAGCTGTCAAAAGCTCATGCCTTTTAATACAATGTTGCCTCTGCTCAGCATCTACCCATTGGAGATGGCTTCACATCTTCATCCAGATATACACAAGGATGTTCACAGAAGTGTTTGGCCACAACCGGAGTATCCACCCAGAAGACATTCAGGGGCAATGCTGAACACAGCTATAATAACAACTCGGTACAGAGCCCAGTCCATCTGTGGAGTGAAGCCGAACACATATGCAGCTAGATGCAGCCCATGTACAAGTCCGTGTGCAAGCCCATGTGTAAGCATGTGTGCAAGTGCGTGTACAATACACAAACACCCATTCCACCCCTGCCCTGAAGAAACCACGGGAAAGGGGTAGCCTCAGACAGACTTGGATTCCAATGTCGTATGCTTCGGGACTATTCAAAATGTCACTTGTTTATTCTTCTGCATGTCACAGATGCAGACACCGTGAGCAGAGAAACCATTGGGCACCCTGCTTTCTTCTTAGTGTTTCTTAACCTTCTAAAAAACACAGTATTCTATTTTGAGAAAAGATAATAGCACTCTCTCTCTCTCTATGTGAAAATGATGGACACACGGGATCTACACATACGAAAGTGGAATAAAGAGACCTAGCATTTGATACAACGAATATGTGCTAATAAAAGGGAAAAAAAACCTTATGAACAAGAAAAAAAAATCTCATGTGTAGTCTACCTTCAAATAGCTTTCTTTTTACAGAAATTGCTCCAGGAATTCTCTGGCTCTTATCTTTAGTTGGAATTAAAAACAGTTAACGCCCTTTATATTTGCATGTGTAACGGAAGTTCTTAGCCTACAGCCAGAAGCCTTATTCCAAAGGAAATGGCAACAAATCACCTAACTCCCCAAAAGTCTGGATGAAAAAACGGGTCACTGCCACCCAGAAGCAGGTTCAAGCTTGTTGACATCTTTTGCTAATGCTCAGATACAAAAGCAATTCAGCTCCACAGTGCTCCGTCAACAGTCCCTTACTCCAACAGCGCCCCCTTCTGGGACTATGATTCCAATCCAGCCTCTTGCTGAGGTTGAGAAGATTTATAAAGAATGATGGGGGAAATCACTTTGAAACCTGTGGGAAAAGGGCATTCCTTTCTAAAACACAAAAACAAAACACACAAAAGCCTAGTTTTAAAAAGTACAACCGTGCGCACGCCTTTAATTCCAGCACTAGGGAGGCAGAGGCAGGTGGATCTCTCTGAGTTTGAAGCTAGCCTGGTCTACAAAGAGAGTTCCAGGACAGCCAGGGCTACACAGAGAAACCCTGTCTTGAAAAAGAAAGAAAGAAAAGAAAAAAAAGTACAATTATTATACATTGCATGTGTATGTATGCATTTATGTATGCAGGCATTCATATTCATGAGATGTACTGAATACTGCTTATACACCTCATATAGGATACAAAATCTGACAATTAATGCCATGTGTAATCCATGACGTCAACAGTCCCATTATTCAACGATAGCTCCAGCTGGAACTGTATGACTTCAAGGTTTATCACAGATCCAAACAATCTGCATTCGATTTTGTTAACAGGATCTATTTCTCTGTATTTCTTAATGCACTGAATCTGTAGCTATAAATGAAAACCATTTAATTTTTTTTTATTCTTATCCTCCAATCTAGGAGCCAGTGATATAATTTCTTCACTGACTTTGACAAATAATATTTTTGAATTTCGGACGCCATTTCTTCCGCGGAACTGGTGAGTTTGCACTAAAAGGTCTCCTGCTGTTTACGCCTCTACTTAATGAGGACTGGGCCAGCGAGCCACCAACCAGTCCGGTTCAAACTGTCTCAACAGTTAGACAGCGGCGCCCCCTGGTGGCTCCCGATAAAACACCCACAGCCAGCCAGTTTTTGAGATCTTACTGTAGGCAAAGGTATGGAAGTGGGCGGGGCCAGAGAAGTAGGAGCTATCATTTTGCCTTTCAATGAACCTTCAAGTTCCTTTAAGAACAAAACCGTATTCTGTAATGAAACCCCTGGAGGGCTCTGCCGTTGCCGAGTGGGCACTTACCTATCAAACCCCGGACAGCTGCTCTCCGAATTCCACCTCCTCCAGCAGCTGCCGGCCTCTGCAGACAGGCTTGACCAGGGGACAGTGCTGCAGAAACTAGCCCTTCCTCTGCCTCAATAAGGTCCCTGCAGTATGCTCAGGTGGGTCTCTCAAACCTGCCTATGGTTCCACCTGCTGAGGAGCTCACACACTCCTGGGTAAGAGTCGTGTGCCCACCGGAGCAGGAACTTCCTGTGAGGAGCAACTGCCTACTGGCTTTTTATTTCTTCGACCCCCATCCTCAGAATCCTCCTTCCAGGGGTAGGAAATGCCAACTGGAGGCAGAAAATAACTGAATCCACGCACCAAATCCCACAGAAGAAGTGTGACTGGGGGAGACATTCTCTCCATACTCACTTCTGGATCGCATGTAGCAGTCGGTGCAGTTTAGGAGACCGTTGCGAATCCTAACATCCGTCCCACTCACTGTATCTCCGAGCTGTCCTTTACAAATGCCACACTACAAGGAGAGAGGGGACAGAAGTTATGACATTAGGGAACCGTGTCTGGAACCTGCTGCTGACTGTTTGTGGTGGTTTGAGTGAGAACAGCCCCAGTGGCTCATTTGTTTGCATGTTTAGTCCCCAGGTGGTAAACTGCTTTGGAAGGATTAGGAGGTGTGGTCTTGTTGGAGGGAGGTCTGTCACCGGGGGTGGGCTGGGAGGCTTCCAAAGCCCACATCAGGCACAGGGTCTCACTCTGTCTGCTGCCTGTGGTTCAAGATGCAAAGCTCTCAGCTACTGCTCCAGGCCCATGCCTGTCCACTTCCTGCACTGACGACCGTGAACTCTACCATCCTCTGGAACTGTGAGCCCCAAATGAAAGGCTTTCCTTTGTAAGAGCTGCCTTGGTCATGGTGTCTCTTCACAGCAACAGAACCGTAACTAAGACACTGCTTATGTGACGCACGCTGGGATACTCCCACGAGCTCCCTGTTCACTGAGCATCTATTATGGGCTAGCTATGGCACCCTAAGCCAATTTATGGCAGTAAGTAAAATATATTTTGACCATTTTATCTTAACGCCTGTATTTTACAGAGAAGGACACAGGTTGAGAGACACTAACTGGTTTGCCCTGGGGTTGGGAACCTGGTAAGTGACATTGCAGTGACTTGAGAGCCCTGCTCTACTGTTACGATGCACAATTTCTCAACGGAGATAGAAGGACCATTTCCAACATATTACACCCTACTGGTTTTAAACAAACATGCAGCCAATGGACATCAGTTGGTACTTGACTACTAATAATCTCGGCTTTCCGGAACATCCCACCAGAGAATTACTAAGGAACACATTCGGTGGTCTAGTTCCACATTAGAGGCGTGGTACTCAGGGTAATAAATTCCCCGGGTATGGAACCCCCATTAGCCGAGTAGTTTGAGAGCAGAAATGAAATGCAGGAGGCATCTGCAGCAGAGGAGGTGGCACGGGGGTCCCTCCAGGTGCCAGCCCCTTGCAGAGGTTCAGATGCAGCCTCTAGTCCATACTCTAAACTAGCCAGGTCCCAGGGACACAGTCAGCAAACAGGCAGACCTGCATTTCACTGCGTTCTGTCTGACTTGTGAACTCCACTGACTGCTTCTTACACTAGGGACAAAGGGAGGGTTTTTTGGTTTTTTTTTTTTTTTCATCCCTTACAAGGATAGCATAGCCAAGGATGCTACCAACGAGAAAGAGGGCAAAATCCAAAGAGAAAAAGAAAATGTAGTAGCATCATGTAGAGAAAAGAGGACTCAGATATTCAGAGAGAGAGAGGCTTGGCTTCAAAATCAATTACATCCACTTGAAAGGTGCTCATGAGTCGAAAGAGAGGCTGGGGTGTGCTGATAGAGTACAATTCATTCATCTGATAGCACACCAAGTATGACCGTCTCCCCTGCCCCCAAGTAGCAGGAGACCTGGCATTAGAAAGAAGCCAGGCTCCTTGGTGCACTGTACTAGTCCATCTAAAGTATTCATTGATACTTACCCCTGTAGATGCAAAGGAAAACCGTGGCCGTTGAGGAAGACAGAATTATTACTCTTTTATTTTATTTTATTTTTTTTTAGTTTTTTGAGACAGGGTTTCTCTATGTAGCTTTGGAGCCTGTCCTGGATCTCACTCTGTAGACCAGGCTGGCCTCGAACTCACAGAGATCTGCCTCCCGAGTGCTGGGATTAAAGGCTTGCAACACCACTGCCCGGCCAGAATCATTACTCTTATGGAGCTCACTGTTTATCACAGCAGCTGGTAACTAACACAGCATAATGAACAATAAGGACTCAGAAAGGCTACCTGGGATTCTTCAGCAAAGGCCACTGACTGGCTGGATGTGGTGGTGTGTGCTAGTCATCTCAGCCCTAGGGAGGCTGAGGCAGAAGGACCGTGAGGGTCTTGAGGCCAGCCTGGGCTACACAACGAGACCTTGTTTCACACAAAACAAAACACACCAAGGAACAGCAACAACGGAACCACAGACTTAACCCAGGGCTTCGCAGAGGGGGCCACCATCTAAGGTGACAGACATGCTCTCTCAGAACACTGAAATCTTACAGCTAGCCACTGCCACTCACTGGGCAGGAAATATTCCACTAGGGCAACACCTAAAACCTTGTCATAGGAAATTGTAAGAGTTAAAGAACAGCAAAACTATTTCAAATAAATCCTTAAGGCCCCACAGACTCTGAGGCCCTGCTGTCTCCCAGGGTCTCAATCCCGACTTCCCTTTGGAACATCCATTGTCAGCAACAGAAGTATGCAAAGACAAATTGCACAGATCTATTTTTCTTCTAGAAGGAGTTTTCTTCCCAGAGAGACTCAGGGCTGCTGAGCTGTATCCTTAAGGCTGGACTTGACCCACACATCTGCCTATACCACACGGGGAGAGGTTGCAAAGTTACAGGAGGGATTTCTCAGCACAGGACACGACCTAACCCCTGACATCAGCTCAGAGAGGAGAGTGCTGCGTACATACCCTGAAACACTGGATGTGAAAGTAGAGATTCAGGGTCTCGATGATCATGGCGGCTCCTTTACCCAAAGCAAGCCCACAGGAGGAGCACAGCTTCTTCCCACTTATAGACCTGAGTCAAAAAAACAAACAAAAAACAAAACAAAACAAAAACAATCAAAAAAGACACAGTGAGAACCTTGGCTCATGCAACAGGCAACCTCATGCAAAAATGGGAACATGGATTTTAAAAAAATGCTTAAACCATGAATAAAATGAGGATCCCACACTGACAATGAACACAGAATTAAGCAGAGCCATACACTGCCAGCAGGGCCTAAGCTGAGGGTGATGGATGGCGTGGTGCTGAATGTGCTGGGTCTGAGCACCTTGAGATGATTCAACATACGTATCATGTTTACAGAAGTCCTACAAAGACACTCAGATTTAGCTTCATTAAGGTCCCAATGTGGCCTGAGCAGTCTCCATTGCCTTTCCTTTAAAAGAGTCCATTGTCATGGGAGAGGGGGACGCTTGTGGAGGCCTCAGGGATTGGGTCCCTGCTCCTCCGAGTCATGGTGTGCCATCAAGGGCTCGCCTTGGGTCTCCCTTCTATCTACACAGGGAAAGGGTTGGCCATTCTATCTCTACTGTGTCTTCCAGAAAAAACACCGTCTGCAGGAATGGTACGTGCTTTCTGTCTATATCGTAACCTCCTGGGACTGAACCCAAGGCCTGCCTCTACCTACAGCCCTGGACACTGTCCACCCACAGGGGCTAAACTCAGCAGGTCCCACCAGGGGAGAGGGCAGGGTCAACTGCCCACCTGCCACCACAGGGCTGTCCTCTCAGGACAACGTTCCCATGATGCCCACTGCTGCAGAGCCCTAGGAGAAATTCACAAGTATGCATTGCACAAAGGGACAGAGGAAACAGAAGGACAGACGTCGGAGGAGGAAGAGCTGGCCTCATCAAACACCATCAATTAAGATTTCCCTCTCTCTAGCCATGAAGAGAAATCCTCTATCAATGAAAACCACTGAGCCCTTAGTCATTAGCGCCTGTGACCGACAGACACCCAGGCAGCTTTGAAAGATATCATGGGGACCGACTAATGTCCAGAGACCTCGGGAGAGCCGGAAGAGGATGAAGTTTTGTTTCCCAGCTTCTTCGCGTCTCTGGAGGAGCCAGCAGCCCATTACCCTCGGAGGGCTGATCATCTCGGAGGCAGAGGCCCTGCTGTAGGAGCCCACCAGCTGTCTGGTGGGCTTTATTATTAGATTGCCTGTTCCACACGACGTCATTAAAACCTAATGGCCACGGCCAGCACCACCCAGCTGACTTTTTCTACCCCATGCGGATGAATCTGCAGGCAGATGGAGATGTTTTCCTGACTCCTCCCCTCTCTGGGGATGAGGGGTGAGGGATGAGGATGATAAGCCTCTCAGCATCACTTGGCAAGCACTCATCTGGCCAGAATTAGGCCCGTTAGGTGCTGGACCACAAAACAGCCTCCGAAAGGCTCGCTGACCTCTTATACCTGTTTGGCGACTGGCCAGGAGGGGTAGGAGAACATGGGGACAGGGGCCCGGCCCGGAAGTTCTCTCGAGGGCTTTTCCTGTAACATGGTAAAGGCGCCCACAGTTACAAGAAGTTAACAGAAGCCACAATAGAAGACATTTTAGCTTAAAACTAAAACAAAAGGACCACAAAGGAGTCTCTTCCTGGCGTCTTTGCTTATTTGTTTTGAGATAAGGTCTCACCATGGTGCCCAGGCTGGCTTGAAGCTTCCTCTTCCTCCTGGCTCAGCCTCTCAAGTGGGGGTTAGGAACATGTGCTACCACGCTTGGATTTTGTCTATTTTTGTCTTTTTGGAACAAAAGTAGCAATTACATCTGGCAGGAATGCCCACGTATGTAAAATGAAAACCTTAGTGGTACTGCTGCTTAGAAAGGAGAATACTGGTGAATTCTCCTTCACTTCTGTTACGGGGCTGTTACCCATCGACGCTGCGGAGCAAGCTGTTGTTGCATGCCGAGTTTAATATGAAAACTACGGCCTTTGTGGGATTGAAAGATGAATAAAGACAGAGGAGGAGATTCCTAAGGGCAGCCCAGAAGTTCAGGGGAGATTTAAAAAAAAATTGCTTTATGGCAAAGACCTTGCAAATAACAAATATCACGCAGCTGGGGTCACGTGGCCACTCAAGCAAACAGGAAGCAATTTTCAGTGCCACGGTTCCTGCCATGAAGGGTGGCGCTGAGACCCTTTATCACTCATTAGGTCACAAGAAATCAGAAGAGCCGCCATCTGATGCTGCTAGCATGTCACCCGGGGGCAGGGGCTGCTTAGGAGCCAGCCCCGTGTGGGATCAAGTTTTCAGTTTTGAAAAGCTCGTTTCCTGAGTGAAGAACCAGTTAGGCTACAGAAAAGACCAAGGAAAGGAAAAGAAGCCCACCGAGGCAGACAGAGGCAGAGTCCCTTGTCTCCTGGCTGCTTGAGGATGAGATCCTTGGAGGCCCTGCTCACCGGGCCCTCCCACCTCAGGTGGCACTTGTCTCCTCCAAAAGTCACATTTTCCAAGTGTCAGCACCGTGGCTTGAAAGAACAAAAAGGCTGAGAAGCACCCCAGTAACCACTGGGAGTAATCTCATCCAGGCCATCTGAGCTCCTGCTGATCCCGGTGCCACAGATACCCAGCCATGAAAACCGGAGCAACCCAAGAGAGAGGCAGCGGCGCTTCAATCCCGTGTCAAGGAGGAAGGGAAGCTAACGGGCATGCTCATGACCCACACTGCAGTGCTGGGTATTTACCAGGCCTGGGAATCTGAGGAAGGTACCAGTCTCATTTCCACTTGATAATGAGGAAACTAAGACCCGTGCCCAAGGTTCCGGGTAGGTAGGCGGCAGCAGACAGACTCTGAACCCACACAGTCCCGATCCAAGTGGAATGATTGCTAAAGGAATGAATGGCGTAAGTGTGATGCGGCTTAACTGTGGTCTGAAGCTGTGAGCCCTTTGTATATTCCTCAAACACGTCACCAGTCAGATTCTGTGGGCAAGTTACGTAACTTCCCTAAATTCTTCATCTGAAAACTGGGATTATCAACCTCGTGACATTATTGGGAAGGCTCACTGAGAGGAAGAGTTTTAAACGCTTAAATACCTATTATCCCCAAGTATATCCTTCAAAATGATTAAATGGAGACAAAGCACAAAAATGCTGCTGCCACCTTACACTTCTCCCCCATCTGAGTCGATACAATTGTTTTGACACAGGAATCCCACCTCCGTCTTTCCCATTTACTCACTTCCGCCTTTCACCCGGAGACTCAATCTGATGATTAACGTTTTTATCCAGGGGCAGGGTTTTGGGCTTCACATCTTCCGACACGTGTGATGATGGGTTTGATACCTGAGGACTCTGAGGTGGATCTAAGACCAAGGAAGGAACATAAACGGTGCTCAGCAAAGTCACTTTGATACCTGGTAACACACCGCCCTTTAAAGCGCCGATGGCTTCCGGTCCTCACAGCCATCCTAGGTGGGCCGTGTTGCACACGTATCCCAGTCTGGTTTGGCAGAGTCTACCCCTCAAGAGGATTTTGGGGGTTGGGGCGGGGTCATGCTCAGTGGTAGAACTGGGACATTTGAAGAATGCACGGTTTCTGATAACTTAAAGGTTTTTTTTGTACAGTCATCCTTTGATTAAAAAAATTCTATTTTCTGAGTATGGGTGTTTTGCCTGCACGTACATCTGTGACCCCCACACGCAGGCAGTGACATGGAAGCCATACGAGGGCGTCATATCCCCCTGGATATGGAGTCACTGACAGTTATGAGCTGCCATAGAGGAGCTGGGAACTGAACCTGGGTCCTCTGAAAGGGCAGCCACTGCTCTTAACCATTGAGCCATCTCTCCAGCCCCTCCATTTAAGTTAAAAAGAATTACATTTATTTATTTTGTGTGTGTGTGTGTGTGTGTGTGTGTGTGTGTGTGTGTAAAGCACATGCCACAGGGGTGTGTGTGTGAAGGCCAAAGGACACCTTTTGGGAGACGCTTCTCTCTTTCCACTCCATGAGTCTTAAGGAGTGAACTCAGGTCATCAGGGTCAGTGGCAGCCCCTTCTTGCTGGGTCATTGCGGGAGCCACAAGCCTCCATTCTGTAAAATGCTAAGAACTGTTCAGGTCTCACTGAGACCCCGATGACCTCGTGTAGAGTCTGGTCACACGGTGGGAGTTTATGTGTTACGTATTTAACAGAAGCTAGGGTATGGGGCTCTTAGAGAGAAACTTGCCACCAGCAGAGGTCAGCTCTGGACAGCATGAAGGATTTAAATGTTAACTTAAATGTTGGGATTTGTCTCTCCATTCTTACCCTAAGCTAGCTGGGGGCTTGTACCATAGTGTGTGTGTGTGTGTGTGTGTGTGTGTGTGTGTGTGTGTGTGTGTGTGTGTGTGTGTGTGTATGTGTAGCCGCTGGTCCATTCTTACCCTAAGCTAGCTGGGGGCTTGTACCATAGTGTGTGTGTGTGTGGGGTGGGGGGGGGGCGCAGCCTCTGCCTCCAGCTGCTGGCCCGTTCTTACCCTGAGCTAGCTGTGGGCTTGTAACACAGTGTGGGGCCCCAGCCTCAGCCTCGGGCTGCTGGTCCAGATGGATTCCTTTTGACATGGACTCTTCAGAGTGAGCCGAGGGCCCTTGAGTTAGGCTGCTAATGCTAAAACAAAGAAACATACTTCAGAGTAGAGATAACAGCAACCAGATCAAACCTACTGTTTCCATACCCAGGGACACAGAGCTAGCAATTGCAATCTAAGGAAAGGAATAGACTGTTTATTCTTTTTATTTTAAACTAAAACCATTATACAATACTATGCATTTTTAGTGCCCATCTATTTAACAAAGTCAAGAAATGATCGTTTCTGGGGTCCTCCCTGCCCACTGGGCTCTTCATGCTGAGTACCTCTAGGGAGTGGACCTGAAGCTCCCACATTTTCACAAGAGAGCAATTATTATAAGTTTCAGTTGGAAGGCAGGCATGGTGAAGCACACCTGTAATCCCAGCACTCAGGAGGCAGAGGCAGCAGGATCGGGAGTTCGAGGCCAAACGGGGCTACACAGTGAGTTCAAGGCCAGCCTAGGCAGCAAAGAGATATACTATCTAAAAATAAACAGATAAATAGATCACTGGGACCACTTCACTTGGGATCTCTGCAGCCTTGGTTACTTCCTCAGCCTTAAGGAGATGAAAGCACCATTTCTGGTGACCATGAGACCAGCCTGGAGAAAGCAAACAGCAAATCCACAGGCAGGGCCTGTTTGGAGAACTAGTGAATGATCACGCAGGCACACGGGTGTGTTTCGGGATCCTTCAAACCTTCCTAACAGCTCACTCCCCAGACTCTGAAGTAGTGTCACCCGGAAACAGAGTTGCTCTTCCAGGCCATGCCCTGCCAGTCAGACTTGGTGCTCAGAGTCCGATGCCAGCAGCCCACTGAGTGCAAATCCTCCCCAGAACCCTGCTCCCAGCCAACTGCTCACCTTGACCCATCTATGACACCCGGACACCTTTCTCATTTTCAGGTCCCTCTGGGATGCTGTACATGTGTTATAGGTGCATGTGTATTTGCTGACACCTATCTGGGATCTCACGCCCCTGAGGCAAGCATCTGTTTCTTAAGCAGGATGCTGCCAACTTCCTGGGCTTCCTGTAGATTCCTTCCAGGTTAAGCAAGAGGTGCACTGATAACCTGCAGCCCAGAGTCTGCTCCAGTCTGAGGTACTCTGTGTGTTCTGGGGCTTCTGGGTTCGTTTCTGGATCTCCCGTGGAACATCCTAGAGTTCATGCATGAGGTGACCACCCACAACTGTTCTGACAAATTGGTTATCCTTCACATTACCACTCACATCAGTGAGGACACCCACGGCCATGCTCGGGTCCACAGTGAACCACGGTAGGTGAGACTCAGGACTTCAACATCTTTCCTCTCTGGTACATCCTCTATTTCAAGTAACTGAAAGCTTGAGGTTTGGGGTCAACAACAAGCTTCTTTGATGATTTATACTATTTTCTTTATTTAAAACAGGTCTCCCTTATTAAACTTTTTACATCATTATTAAAACATTCAAACTGAATCATGTGATATGTGTATGATGTGTGTGCTCATGCCACACCATGTATGTGGAGGACAGGGGATGATTGTGGACTTGGGTCTCTCCTTCAACCTTTATGTGCTTTCTAGGATCACACTCAATTCCAGGCTTGAGTAGCATGTGACTTTATCCTCTGAGCATCTCTCCACCTATTATATTTAATTTTTTTTGAGGTATGCTTTCACTATGTACCCAAGGCTAGCCTCAAATTTATGTTCCTTTTTTCTCTTCACAACTGGCCTTGCCTGTTAAGTCCATATATTCCAGAGCACAAGGACACAGACTTCAGAGCTGTTATAGCATGTTTAAACAACACGGACTGCATCATTAGAGATCTTTTTAAAGCAGCAGGACCACCTTCCTGGGAGGGAATGGCAGAGCTCAGCTTTGGAAATTCCCGTGGACGGTCTGGGATGGGCACATACCTGTCCTCCTCTGGTGGACCACTTTCCCTAGCCTTGAGCAACGAGTCACTGTCGTTCTCCTGGAAAGGTGGCTTCTGTCTTCTCTCTTTTTCTTTGTCTTGACAGCTTTCCAAGTCCATCTTATTCTGATAGAAAAATTGGGATCATTTTGAATATAATCTTTAAAGACACTAGATGACTTTTCTATCTGACCGTGAACTGCCTGAAACCACCCCTAATGACTTGTATCTGACATGGACTCTCTGAACCCACCCCCAGTGACTTATATCTGACCACGGACTCTCTGAAACCCACCCCCAATGACTTCTATCTGACCATGGATGACCTGAAACACAATCCTTTCCCTTTCTTTTCTTTGAATAATGAAAATTTTCTTCCATATTTGCTCTAACTTTAAAGAAATTATTACTATGTACTTCCTGTACAGTGAATGAGACTCACTGTGGCTTGCACATACGCACACAGTGTGTTCTGGTTATAGCCACCCTGCTCTTCTACTTCTGCACTGACCCTGTTTTACCCGTCCCACTGTCTACAGTTCAAAAAACAGTCTTCTAAACTAACAGAGCTCAAGGATTTCCAAACACTTGGAATAAATGTGCAGTTGAGATCTTCCTAGAAATTATCACAAAAGGGATGGGTCCAGAAACCCCCCTTTCCCAACAAAATGAAGTCATGGGACTGCTTACTTCAAGGACAGATGGCCTCTGAGCTATTTTACACGTCTTGGCATGTTTCTAGCTAGTACCCCCATCACTTTACTTGGGAGATGTGGGGCTGACCAGCCTTTACAGGTTCTCTCCACCCTCAAAGACACATCAGGTTCATGTGGAATTGGGGGGATAAGAAGCTACTTTATGGCAGCTGGAGGGGATATACTGGGGACATGTCTGCTGCTGCAGAATGATGCAGAGGGATGCACGGCACAGTGGGGAGAAAACGCATTGGGGGCCTGCCTGCAGCTGCGGACTGATGCAGAGGGATGCACGGCACAGTGGGGAGGGAATGCATTGGGGGCCTGCCTGCTGCTGCAGAATGATGCAGAGGGATGCACGGCACAGTGGGGAGGGAACGCATTGGGGGCATGCCTGCGGCTGCGGACTGATGCAGAGGGATGCACGGCACAGTGGGGAGGGAATGCATTGGGGGCCTGCCTGCGGCTGCGGACTGATGCAGAGGGATGCACGGCACAGTGGGGAGGAAATGCATTGGGGGCATGCCTGCGGCTGCGGACTGATGCAGAGGGATGCACGGCACAGTGGGGAGGGAATGCATTGGGGGCATGCCTGCGGCTGCGGACTGATGCAGAGGGATGCATGGCACAGTGGGGAGGGAACGCATTGGGGGCATGCCTGCGGCTGCGGACTGATGCAGAGGGATGCATGGCACAGTGAGGAGGAAATGCATTGAGAGCATGCCTGAGGCTGCGGACTGATGCAGAGGGATGCACGGCACAGTGGGGAGGGAATGCATTGGGGGCATGCCTGCGGCTGTGGACTGATGCAGAGGGATGCACGGCACAGTGGGGAGGGAATGCATTGGGGGCATGCCTGCTGTTGCAGAATGATGCAGAGGGATGCACGGCACAGTGGGGAAGGGGCGCATGGCTGTGGAGGGAAGAGTGATGCTTGAGTCAGGCAGAGAGAAGGTTCCAGCACATGGCTTTACTCCTGGAGATCCTGCCAGTCTGTCTGGGAAGATCTGGCCAGGGCAATGACTCCTGCTCTGTGGAGGGAGCTTAGGGTTTGGCGACAGCAGTGTAGGGGCTGCTGTGGCTTGGGATGAAAAGCCAACTCCGGTTTTAAGTTACTAAGTGTGATGGGAAACCTGTTGAGGTTACTGACGTCAAACTCGGTTTTCAACAGTGGTCTCACCGGTGTCCCACTGCCTTCCGTTACAGAGGAGGAAGTAGACAGCTGGTCTGCAGAACTTGAGGAGAGAGTGAATGGGACCACAGTGTCTTCAATGATCTTACGCTCCTAGGGCAAAGGCGGGGATAAATGAAAAAAAAAATTAAATCTGTCAAGAGAAAGAAATACATTAAGGAACTCCGGGAAAAGAAAACTCATCAGAACATACACAGATAAGCAGGGCATTAGGAAAATTATTTTTCCATACAAATCAAGTTAACACCAAGTGGGCAGCAGTTTAGAACTTTGTACTGAATTTACGAACACCAAGTTTAATTAGTGTCACGGAAGAACACAATTAAGAAAAACTACTGTGGAGCTGATCGGTTAAGTTATTGCTGAAGGTAAAGTTCCCAACAATATTGACAACAAATTTCAGATAACAGACACTTTAGATAGCCTCCTCCAAACTCTGGGATGTGGCCTGTCCGTGTTGTTAAAACATTACCAGGACAGCTCTCCTCCACAAATTCCTCTAGCACGGTGCAGTAGCGGAGTCAACAGTGAGGATGCATGTAGCTTCAGTGCTAAAGTTATCCTTCAAAATGAATTCATTACTACCAAACACTCTTGCTGCAAGGGAGCACACACACAAAGTAACACGTCGCTGTGTTTACGTTACCTAAGACAGATCAAGAGTCAGACAGGACTGGAGAACAGATGTGATTACAGCGGCTTCTTGAACATGGTTCAATCCCTTCCTCCTACAATCCACGTGGGGTGTGTGTGTGTGTGTGTGTGTGTGTGTGTGTGTGTGTGTGTGTGTGTGTAGGGGTACTGTGGTCTGTTGGAACCGGCATGATGTGGTTCTCTTTCAAGAGACCGAAGGGACCCCACTTCGAGCACAGAGTGTCAGACACACCCACCACCAGCACGTGCTGCAGACGCAAAGGGAGGAGACAGACTTTGCGGAACGGCGGGACGGGTCACGTTCCTCTTGGCGGTTTCCTACCTCCTCGTAGTACCTGCGTTCCTCTTCCTCCACCTCCTTCTGGGCCTTTTCCCACTCTTCCTTCAACTTATCTTGCTCCTTCTGGTACCTCTCCTGTCATGGGATGTCCAAAGAACAAGTGACCATCGCACTCATCACCGGGGTGTTTTCCCCTCTTCTAGAGCAACACAGTCTTTGAGAGTGAACATTTGGAATCTAACGCACGCATATCAAAAAAAAAATGTTGGGTATTATGCACACAAGTCTGGTCTGTGTGGGGGATGGAATGAGTAATGTCCCCCTTTGGCTCATGTATGTGGACATTTGGTTCCAGTTAGTGGTGTCGTCTGGGAAGGGTCTGGAACCTTTAGGATGAGGACGTATGTCACTGGGGTTGGGCTCTGCGGTTTTATAGCCCAGTCTCCCTTCCTCTTCTCTCTCTGCTTTCCTGTGTGTGAATGAAACGTGACCACTTTGCTTCTTGAGGGCCAGGCAGGCCTCCAGCTCCCGCGGCTCGCCTTCCCTACCATGATGGGCTGTAGCCCTCTGGAACCATAAGCCAAAATAGACCGTTTCTTCCCTATCTTGCTTTTCATCAGGGTATTTTTTTTTTAACACAGAAACAGAAAAGTAACTAACATAGACATTTAAAATCCCATGGGAAGCCAGATTTCTGCTGTTATGTTTTGTAGAATTTCTTTTCAGATAGACCTTTGTTCATAAAAGATGAAAAAAAATATCAACAATCTCCCTCAAGAGATTGGGAGGTGCTAGGTAGGCTATACATAGAGTTTGCCTCAACTGAGCCTTTCAGAGGTGATTTTTTTGAGTGCCTGTCCTGGATCTCACTCTGTAGACCCGGCTAGCCTCGAACTCACAGAGATCCGCCTGGCTCTGCCTCTCGAGTGCTAGGATTAAAGGCATGTACTACCACTGTCCAAGAGGTGAATTTTGTTATTTCACTAATAGAAATATATTTCTGGGCTGGGGATGTAGTTGCCTAGCATGTGCCATGGTCTGGGTTTGAACCCCACCCCCCGCAAAAACCAACCAATCAAAGCCAAAACCAACCAACACTGCTGCTAAGGAAGTTTAATAAAAGGTTATAAAATCCTGCTAAGTTTATAAGAGGCAGAAAAAGTTCAAAGTGCTCAAGACAACCATCAGCTGAGAGGCAGAAGCACTCTGCTTATCACCATGGCAACGAGATGAGGTACCAGGCCCAGCTCACAGTAACTTGAATCAAAAGAGCCTTTATACCACCCCTTACAATGTGTTGTGCCACACCAACTCCAGTGTCGTCCGTGTGACATGAACAATTATGTCAATAATAGCAGACGGGAGATACGTGTCCCATGGGACTAAGTTCCCTGGAGGTCCCTGGCAGAGTGCCCATGTTATGCCTCCTTCTCGAAGGAGATGTGCTTCACGGATCATGAGCTCCCTGGGCTATGGGTTCTGTATAACTGCTTTTCTGATAATGTTCTAATTAATCTATGAAGCACAGCCAAAATTAATGAATGCTTGGGTTGTGAACTATGGAGGAAAGGGGAAGCTAGGCATGGCTCTTAATCAGATATAGCAGAATGAGCTATTTCTTAAAGACCCCAAGCCGCTAGATAAAGAAAGTATAATAGTTCAGGCACTTCTAGGGAATGAACACTCACCCACTAGGAATCCTTTAGGAATCCCAACTGAAGAGATATATGGTAAAAAACTAAAAAAGACTTAGGGAGGGTCTGCAACATCCAAACTGGCTAAGTGGGTCATGAGAACCAGAACAGTAGAAGTGCATAATAAACTAAACTAGAGAGCAGTTGAGATAAAGATGAAGGACACAGCTACAACCGCAAAGAAGCCTTCACAAGTCTAGGGACTGTACTAAGTTTAAAAAACACAGACTGCTCTTTGGGTCATAAAGTTCTTGGGGGTGAAGGGATATGTCTAGTGCCGATTAATAATTGTGTGCTTGCTGTTTTTTTTTAAAGATGATATAATTGAATTATTGCCAAGCTCTTGTTGTTCCTTGTATGACTTGATAGTTTTCTTTTCTGTATATAAACTACTGATATACAGAAGTAAAATTGCAGCAGATTCAAACCACTTCTGAGTGTGTTGTCTGTCTGTCACTCGCCGAATCCTTGCCTTCCTGACTACCCAAGCCCTGGTTCCCCTACGGTCGTGGTACCCCCGATGGGCCAGTCCGTGGCAGTGTTGGTGTGAGAACTTCTGTGAATATGTGTTGCTCTGATTGGTTGATAAATAAAGCCGTTTGGCCTATGGCAAGTCAGGTTATAGCTCGGTGGAAAATTGAAGAGAGGGAAGAAGAAGAAGAAAAGCAGAGGAGAGAGAAACCAGCACCACCAGGAGAAGCAAGATGTGAAAGCACCGGGAAGCCACGGCCACGTGGCAACTTATAGAGTAATAGAAATGGGTCAAGTTATAAGAGCTAGCTAGCAAGAAGCCTGCCATAGGCCATGCAATTGGTAATTAATATTAAGCCTCTGAAAGATTATTTAATAAGCGGCTGTGGGACTTTGGGGCTAGGTGAGACTGGAGAAACCTTTCGACTACAAACTTCCATCCTTGTGTTCAGAAATGGCGTAATACTTGTCACCATTTCGGAGAGAAAATAAAACAGTTGGAATAAGAATGACATAAAAAATATGCAGGGAGTCCCTATCAGCTGACTGGGAAAATATAGGAGTATATGAAGATTAAAATCAATATTTGAAATAAGAACTGGTCCCTTGAAGATAGTGTCCTCACAGCAGACAAAGGAGACCTGGGCTTGTGCACAGACGTGCCAACACTGGTTGGAACTGACTGGCTACTGTCAGCTGTCTGAAGGTAGGACAGGACTGCGTGTCTCTCTGGAGGGGGAAGGCAGGCACTGAATTGTCCCCAGAGAGTGGCTGTTATGACTTAGGTGCAAAAAGCTTTTCTGGGGACTTCTGGAGACCGGCGTTCTTGCTAATTCTAGCAGAGCACTGCTGGCCGAACCATGGCAGGAGCCAGAGAGATGAGTAAAAACTTATTATCGGAACTAAACCGTGCAGAAGCTGGGCATGGTGGTGCATGCTGGAATCCCACACTCAGGAGAGAGGCGGCAGGGTCTCTGTAAATTCCAGACCAGGCAGGGTCACCTAGTAATTAGTCTTAACAAACAAGCAAACAGAAGAAACCAAAGCCAATTCCCAAATCAAAACAAATGACCCCCCACTCCAGAATACTGTCAAAATTCAGAATGGGAATTCTGAGGCTCTTACTATCACGTAAGTAATCAAGGCCTAACCCTTTGAATTTTTCAAAGGCACCAAGCTGAACTGCAGAGCTAAATCCAAGTAGTTGATTTTACCACAGAACCCACTCCCTTACCCATGGCAATCAGGGCAAAGGATCAGGACAAAAATCTGAAGAGAAAATAGAATAAATCACATCGCGCTTCAGTTCTGGAGTAGCAGGGAGCCACCCCGTTTAATGAGGTTTACACTTTCTCTAGGTGAGCGTCCGGGTGTCTAGTGGAGACAGCATAGATTTAGAGTTGTACAGACTTAGACGGGCCCAGGCTCGGCACCTATCAGCCATGTGATATCAGGCGGTTAATCCGACCTCTGTGAACCTTCACCTCTTCAACTAAAAACTGGCTATTCAGATGTGTCCCCAGCACACCCCAAGTATATAAATAGGCCAGTTTTGAAGGTCGCTAGGTCACTTTGGGTATGAGGCAAGTGGAAGCATGTTACATTTCTTCTCCAAATATTTCTAGAATTGACCATTATCAGCTTTCACTGAAACATGGAGTGAAAATTCTGTTGAAGGAATTAGACTGATATCAAGTTTCATTCCACCTGAATGCTGTCGAGTATCTTTTGGGTAATTCATTCTCATTGTTTCTTGAACTGGGAACTGGTGGCTAAGGAGGTAATGAATCCGGGTAGACTGACCCTTAATCACTGTTTAGAGATACATTTTTTTAAAGTATTAATGTGAAGGTTTTTCCCTACTCCTTTTCATCATTGGACCTGTTCGCAGGAACAAGCAGGTACAAGATTGTTGCCTGGACACAAAGCATCGAGAGACTCACGAGTTTCTGAGAATTGGATTCCATGTTCCCTGTGCTAAAAATCTATTCAATGCAACAGACCTTCAGAGTGCACAGTCACGGAACACAGGGAAAGCAGCAGGCTGGTCCTACCTGGAGCACATGCTCTTGCTGACAGACAGACAGACATTCAGAGTGCACAGTCACGGAACACAGGGAAGGCAGCAGGCTGGTCCTACCTGGAGCACACGCTCTTGCTGACAGACAGATAGACATTCAGAGTGCACAGTCACAGAACACAGGGAAGGCAGCAGGCTGGTCCTACCTGGAGCACACACTCTTGCTGACAGACAGATAGACATTCAGAGTGCACAGTCACTGAACACAGGGAAGGCAGCAGGCTGGTCCTACCTGGAGCACACACTCTTGCTGACAGACAGACAGACATTCAGAGTGCACAGTCACTGAACACAGGGAAGGCAGCAGGCTGGTCCTACCTGGAGCACACGCTCTTGTTCCCGCTGCCATTTCTCCTGCCGCCTACGCTCCTCTTCCGGGTCCCACGCCCAGAACTTGAACTGCTCCGGAAAAACAAAGAACGCAACCCCGTGATCAGAACTTAGGCAGGTCCTCAAGGGCCGGCCAGAGCAAGAGAAGACAATTAGCCTCCAACATGGTACCCAAGGGACGTAGAAATAAATCTTCATATATCCAAATGCCCTCTTTGGTGGCCGACTTAATCTCTCTCTCTCTCTCTCTCTCTCTCTCTCTCTCTCTCTCTCTCTCTCTCTCTCTCTCTCTCTCTCTCTCTCTCTTTACATTGATTCCCAAATGCCAGGCTGGTTCTGTGTCTCTGTGCCTCTTTATGGATCATGGAAACACACAGTGACTAGCCACAGGACCGAGAAGGCTTTGCTCCATTTCTCTCAGAAGCATGAAAAGTTTAGAAGCAGCCATGCTCCTGAGCATGATGCTAATTCTGGCTTACACCAGGAGAAACGCACTGTCTAAGGACTACTGACTGCCGTACCCAAAGCGAAGCCTGTATACCACTACTACTTTCTATGGCAGCTTCCCCCAAAGTGGATTGATGTCACTCTGAGAGGTAAGAGGAGTCAGAAGAGCCCCAGCCCTGAGGCCAGCATAATAAATACTCACACCCAACACCGAGAACAAACAAAATCCTTCGAGAAGGTTTGAGCAGGTTTGAGAACAAACAAGAACGCAGTTGGATTTTCCATCTGAATTCACCGATTCTTTCGCTTGTTCTACCTTCCCCAAACAGGAAACAGCAGTCCATCTTTCTACAATGCCTTTTCCTCTCCACCCCACCCCCTCCAGGGGCACGTGAAGAGTTTGACAACCTTGGGAGTCAATGGCTTACATCATCCTCTTCAGATGTGTGTGGTGATACCAGCTTTATAGTCATTCTGGGGTTCTTAGTTTCCAGGAAACTTGGGGTTACCAGAATGGGTGTATGATTGAACTTTCACATGTGGTTCCTAGTTCTGAAATGTGGTGGGAGATACTGAGGCTAGGTGACAAGCGGTGGTCCATTCTACATGGCCACCAAAGGAGCAAATTTGCCTGTAGATACTAGGTGGTACTGGCTATGGTAAGCATCGTGGACTGGTCACTGGAGAGGGAGGGATCATTCCTGTATCAGGCACCGTATAGCGGCAACTGTACGATGATTTCAAGTAAGGCTCACAATAACCCTAAAAGAAATCTATTTGCACCTCACTGCACAGTCAAGGAAGATTAATTAAGGAGGATTTATAAACTACCTCCAGTGTCCTATGCTAGTAAACCCGGACTCAAGGATACAAAGATGCTTTGTTTCCAGGCAGGGCAGGATACTGACTTCATAGAATGATGATCTATGACTTTACAATCTTGGTACCAGGAACCATCAAATTGTTTCAAAATAAAAAAATTTTTTTTTAAATCTCAGTTTTGGTTGAATACTCTTTAAGAAGATCAAACATAAGTTAAAAATCACTGTAAATGCACGGCTTAGCTCTTTAAGAGGGTCTACTTACAGGTGTAGTTACAGGGGACTTTTCACTGCTTGGAGAATCAGCTAGACAGAATAAAAGACAGAAGAGAAGGCATCAGTGTGAGTGGCTTCCGGCCGTGGTGGTCTTTGGACCCCACGAGTGTAGTTCCTGTGTTAACTTCGGCAGCATTAGGAAACCACAGGAAAGCAGAGCTTTGCGGCAGGGTGTGCCCGTCACCGAGAGGAAAGAGGAGCGGGACACACCAAGTAGCGCCAGGTGCTAGACTCTAGGAAGCGATGACTAAGCCATTAGTGCTGGCTCTTGGTACACCTTGCATTCCAGTGAAGGGAGCGGGTACCCTACTGTCTGGCATGGAGAGGTCCCACACAGAGGTGCTACCCAGAGAGTGACACAGTTAACAAGAGGACACCACATTGGTGGCCATGGAGTCTAATCTTTGTTTTCCCGGGGAACGTGGGTGGTAAAGAGCCAGGTGGATGGTGCTCTTTCTCCGGCATCTCAGAAACCAATATAAAGGTCCGCGAAATCCCTCCCAATTTGAGTGCCACCGTGCGGACATCAAAGAGCAAGCTCATTGCTAACTGTGTGTCACCCGCAAGCATCTTTCTTCTCTCAAGTATCTGAAGTCGGAGATGAAGACAGTGACAGAGACCACCGGCTGCCCCAACATGGATTTTTACACAAAGGAAAGGCAGCGACCCAGTATGTCGTTTACCTGACCGGGAGAAAAACTGGGACCGTCGCCAAGAGTTCTGAACTCTCAGCGGGACACTGGCACTGCTAGGCACCTCTAGATCAGATGGTGAAAAATAGAATAAACAGAAATCCATGAAACCGGGTGAGAGCTGAGAACACATCCCCACCTGTCAAAGAAGGGTCAGTCGGAGTCGAGCTGGGAACTGAACGACTCTAACATAAGACCGCTCACCGCTCACCGGAATACACGTCAAACCTGACCCTACGGACCATGGGCGGTAGAACCCGGCAGTCTGTGTTCCTGTTGCTGTGGGTGCCGAGTGCAAGTTTCCAGGCCCATACTTAGTGGGGAGATGGTTGAAGGGTTAAAGGTCACGATGACGCAGCAGTATGCTGTGTAGGAGCAACTTTAGGAAAGTATAAGAGGGCGGTGGAGATGTGTGGTGGGATCGTGATGTTACCCACATCCCACCTGATGAAGGGGCGATGATGTGGCTGGCTTCCTGTCACACATACAGACAAGTACACGTCTGTGACAGCCTGTGGTGCACCAAGCAGACAGAACTACTGGCAAACATTTGCACCTTACACATTGGCTCTGCGACCTGCCTTCTCAGAGCAACGGACACTGCGCGTTCAAGCCCGTGTTTTACAGAAACATAACTTTGGCATAACTTGACTGTTTCCAGAGAGTTGGATCAAGGCAGTCTGTCAGCTTTAAGTGTATTTTATGAATGTTTCCACAGTGTTGAAAGACTGTACTGATGCACATGCGTGTGCCTGGGGGCGCCTGTGGAATCTTACTTGGGTTGACAGGCAGATCTGCAGTGGCCTGTGAGCATCTACAAATAGATGACTTTAAAGAATTTGGGAAGACCCCAATTTCTGGGGGAGAGAGAATTTATGAGGTGTGGCCCCAGGGATTCTAGTTCCTTTGGACTGGATGCTGGAATTCATGCTAGCCACTTCAATGTGTACCAAATTCTCATATCTGGGTCATAACCCAGCACTTCTCCCACCACACTCCAAAGACAATCATGTCTTGTTAGAGGCCCCTGGCTTCCAGAAAGACCTGTATTCTGTGGAGTCTAAAGAAGCACGACAGCCAGTTTCCTATCCATCAGCAATGTCTCTGAGGCACCATTTAAATAAATACTTCCAGCCAGTGGCTTCCAGGTTGGGATTCCTGGGCTGCCACATCACCTGGATATGTGGCCTTGCTAAAGTACAGACGGAGCCTCTGGCCGGATCTACAGAACCAGACCCTGAGGGTTTGGCCCCAGTCCTGCAGGCTCGGGCACACACTCAGGTTTGAGAACTATTGCTTCAAGCTGTGTCGCTGTCCTGTTAATGCTTTAATTTTCCTCCTCCTCCTCTTTTTTTTTTTTTGAAAGCATTCCAGAAGAGTTTATTATTTCTTCCTAGCACTTGACTCTATACTCCCACCCTTACTGCTATAATTCTATAATTGCTAAATCCAATTCTCTTAAAAACCAGTGTATGGTTATTTCTACTGGACGGGTGATAGTTGAGCCCACAGGGAAAACCAAAAGGGGAAAACTATGCAGCTAAGAACTCGATGAGCGAGAATGTAAACCCAGCTGTTCTATCTCCAGCACTACACTTAAAAGTCACAGAGTTCATGATCCACATGTCACAACAGAGCGCCTGCCAAATCCAGTTCTCCTTTGAAGAATGACCTTTGAAAGACTCCAATGCCATGAATTTTTATTTTTTAAATTATTCAAGTTGGACAAAGCACGAAGTAAAGTTCCTTACTTCAATAGCAGTTTCTCAACATCAGAATGCCTTGTGTTTAATGGGGGATGAAAAATATAAATATAAGCCATCAAGACTAATTGATAAGGCTTACATGTTTATCCTAACTATATTTCTTATTTACATAGTTATAAAGTGCTAGAAATGGAACATAATTACAATGTCTAAATATGGCCAACTGGTTGACCCAGTTGTGAGTTTTATTTTTATTAATTATTTTCAGGACTGTAACGCTGAAAGATTTGTGTCAAATGCTTTGGAGGTGGTACTGAATTTGCCTCTATGTTAAGAGACTAATGCCCATTAGTATGTGTACCACTAATTAGTTTCCTACCAAATGCTCCTTGTTTTGTATATGGCTCCCCAAATGACCAACAAAAGTTAATGGAGACCAACTCAGATGGTGTTAATGGTGACCCCAAATAGCTTCTCACTCTTTAAAAGAAAAGTGATGATAAACCATGAATAATGATGTTATAGCATCATCTCTGACAGATCAGATCTATAAAATACTGGAGAAAAATGTCAACAAAGAGGCACATGGAGCCTTATGATCCTACCTCCCCCAGCAGCTGTTTCCAATCTAGAGGATTTGCATTGGTGCAGCCCAAGTCTCTCCACTTGGAGGAATAATCCCCAGGGATGGCAGCATTCTTGGAATGCCATGTTCCCCAGTCCACATTCCTGAGCGCCTTCATGGGGTGTGGGCACTGGGGTTTCCCATGAGGATAAAAGGGCATAAAGTTGAGTTCTTAAAGAATAAAAGGGTGAGTTCAGAACTCATAGATGGTCCACATAGTGGGAGCCAACACAATTCTAAGACCTCCACTGATCCTTAACTCCCACGTTTCTCAACGCTATCCCTCCCTACATTACATCAAACATTAAAATACAGCAAATACACAAAACACATTGAAATGCATCCCAAAGTATGTTATGTGTTAAACATATTAAAACCTGTCTTTAGTGTGTATGTATGATTACACACATACTTAAGATGTATCTTTAAATGTTTCATGCATTTTACTTTTCATTTTTGAAAATATTAAATTTTCCTTTTTTTTTTAAAAAAGATTTATTTATTTATTATGCATACAAGTGTTCTGACTACAAGCCAGAGGAGGGCACCAGATCTCATTATAGATGGTTGTAAGCCACCAAGTGGTTGCTGGGAATTGAACTCAGGACCTCTGGAAGAGCAGCAAGTGCTCTTAACCTCTGAGACATCTCTCTAAATTTTCTTACTATGAAGAATTTTATTTGTTTGTGTTGTTTTGAGACAGTGTTTCTCTCTATCACCTTGGCTATCCTGAAACTTGCTCTGTAGACCAGGCTGGCATTGAACTCTGAGGTCCACCTGCCTCTGCCTCCTGAGTGCTGGGATTAGAGGCATGCACCATCACCACCTGGCCATGAAGAATTTTTTAAAAGAGTAAAATTTTGAATGAGTAACTACACTAATTATTGTGTACACCCAAGACTTATTATAGAACAAAAAATTTTCACTTTCCCCAAAGTTTATATTAAATAAAATGAGTATTTTTATAAAGACTGGAATTAATAATAAAGTTTATACAATATTAAGAGATAAACTTTTTGAAAAACAAGTTGAGCTTTTATTTTTAATTATCTTGTCATGTTTTGGAGCCAAGACAAAACAAGTTGGAAAGTCTCAGTACCTAGTCAGGCTCTGTTGTACCCATAATGCCTAGCTGACAAGGTGGGCTTCATGGCCAGGGTCCTGTTGTCAAAGAGAAAATGCATCCTAGCTTTCCAATCTGAAATTCTCCATTCGCAAACTCTGGCGGAGAATATGGCTACAGGAACGTCCCATGAAGGTTGCAACTTGCTTTCCGTGTGAAGTGCATTTTCCCACAGGTGGGCCCGGCAGACTATAAAGATCTAAGAGAGCACCCCCCCCCCCCCCCCCCCCCCCCCCCGCCCTTACCTTGAGAACTGAGATTTGGCAAATGAAGTTGGTTGGTTTCAGGCATTTTGTCGAGAAATGGAAACGTCAAGGTTGCTTCTGGTTCTGGGGATTTTGGCTTTACCACCTGGACCACAGCAGGAGACACAAACATTAGAAAGACCTTCCAGCACTTACCTCACAGATCATTGTTACACTCTGACTATTTAAACAAGCCGGTAAGCAAAAACATTTAATTTTACAATAGAATTTTTCCTTCCCTAATGACTTATCACACTTTTCTGAATCAACAGAGTGGTTGATTTTTCTTAGAAATTACGCAAGGGCATAAAAATGTGGTGATCCCCTTTCTTCAACCTCAGAAGATATTTGAAGCCCCCATACTTCCTTCTCTTTTTGAGGGGACAGGGTCTTTCTATGAAGCCCTGGCTGTAACTTGCTCTGTAAATCAGGCTAGCCTTGAACGATCTACCTGGCTCTGCCTTCTGAGTGCTGGGATTAAAGGTGTGCATCACCACTCAAGGCTTCAACTCTCGGTATTACATCTTGCTGAGCTTGTCAGCTGAAGATGAAATATTCCACGGAAGATGATTAAGACCATCTTTGCTGTAAGGCTAAGCATCATCGTAATCCACGTTTAATGGACATTATTCTGAAGACAGTATTCCACCCTCCTACAAAGTTATGCAACATACGTACCATTGCCCATTGACAAAGATGCATTACCCATAACAATGGCTAGTATCACACAGTGCCAGCACAGGGGTGTCCTTACAGTTTTTGAGGCACATTAGATCAGTTGTCCTTATGGTAAATAGTTCTAAAATTATAGGCTTTAACAATTGTTATTTTTGCTCTAGGATTTTTTCATATCACTGCTCTTTAATTGTATTTTTTTCTTCCTCGTCTAATGCCCCTTAGTGGAGCGCCCTCTTGCTATCTTATTGCTGCTAGAGACAGACTGACGAACATTTCCACAGTGCCCCAGAGGGGAGCCAGACTTCTGAATCTGAATGTAGAGTGCAGCTGTATGTGGTTAGGTTCTTTCTGCTTCTCACGGGACTGAACTCTGATTTCATCTCTGGCTGGTAGCTGCCCTCCATGCTTAGTGTGACAGCCAGTGACCTCAGGCTGTGCAACGTTTATTTCTTCTCTGTTGTACTTCTCTTTATTAAGAATACATTCAATCCCAGGAGAATCTTGAAGAAAATATAATCAGTCACTTTGGTCAGTGTTGCTGTGGTCAACCAGCTAGCTGTACAGACTTCAGCATTCAACGTAGAACAGATACTTGAGGTCTGGTTTTGCCAAAGTTCACAGCATGCTAGTCTTTTACTTTCCTAAATACTTATTTTTACTTATAACTCTGTGTGTGTGTGTGTGTGTGTGTGTGTGTGTGTGTGTGTGTGTGTGTGATGGTATGTTCATGTGAGTGCAACAGATATCCACAGAAGCCAGAGGTACTGGGTCTCCCCGAGATGGAATTATGGTTGGCTGTGACCCATCTGATGTGGGTGCTGGGGACTGAGCTCAGTGCTCTTAACCACCCAGCCACCTCCCTAGGCCTCACAACCCTCCAATCTTAAGCTCACAGACACTACTTCCTGCGTGGTGCAGACTGAAAAGAAGGGGCTTCAGAGAAGAACTGGTCGCGAACCAAAGGGTTAAACACCACAGAAGTGTCAGCCTGGCGCTTTGCTTTGACAAAGGTAACATCCCCAAGTGAAATCAGAAAAATCAAAAGCTGTCGCAAGCATGGTGCTCACCATTATCTAAGACCAAGAGAGCAGGGGGAGGGGGCCACAGAGAGGGCGGGTGGGCAAAGTGTTGCCCTAGAGGCCGCCATTCCTTTTGCTAACCAACCATCAGAGCTTCTGAACCTGCAGTCGACAGCACAGAATTTTAAAGCTGTGGACGTAGTAGCATTTGATACCAAGGATAATCTGGGAATTCCGGATATTTTATACTTTAAAAATAGGATTCTGAGACTCGTGTTTACTAAATAGACAAAAGGTTCATGATGGAAAAACAAAACAGATAAACAGTCTGAGAACCCGAGTGTGTGTGTGCATGCGCGCGCGTTTACCCATAGTGGTGGGCCATGAAACTGGCACTCTAAAGATGGCTCACACTGATGAGGGGACCCAGGTGAGCACTATCCAGGAATACACTAAGTTATGGCAGTCGTTGTGTTTGGTTAGTCCTAAATTCCAGGAATGTTACAAGGTTTTCTTTTCAGGTTAGCATTACGTGAAGTGCTGAGTTTGGAGTAATAAGTAAATCATGATTACAAACACATGGGAGATAAGGTACAGTTGGCAAAGACAAAAACCCTGCCTGTCCCACTTGGCTGTGAGACCCACGATTCAATTTTCCTCTGCTCTCCAGACAGCTCAGTAATTCTCTCTGTAAAAAAACGGGGACTAGCCTGGCCTACAAAGTGAGTTCCAGGAAAGGCGCAAAGCTACACAGAGAAACCCTGTCTCAAAACAAAACAAAACAAAAGGGGACTAGCTGAGGTCTGAAATACTCACATCAGATTATAGGCATTTTAGAGGCTCTTCCAAGGACAGCTCTGTGAGGCTAGGTGTTGTGTCCTGTTCCCTATCAAACATCCAGTGTCTAGTATGGTACTTGGCACATCGTAGGTGCCCAGTTAATGTGCCTGAGGAAATGATGTATGAAATGGAACTAAGTGGTACAATTTTCACTTTAAGGTCAAATCTGTAGTTAGGTTGATTTTTAATGGTGTAACACTGATATAAATAATTTGACTACCATACATGGCATGGTCCCCCCTTGGTGGTCATGAGGATTCTCGAGGAGCTTTTACAGAGGTCAGGGCCATGTTTCAGAGTGTCTATCTGGTCTGGAATACACTCTTTAGTTTTAAAATTCTTTAGAAATCAACAACTGAGACAAATGTGAAGAGTTTTTACATCTGGCATTTAAAAACAAATCCAACTAATATAAATAAGACTCTAAATATGAACTACATTTAATTAAGAGCAAGACTTCAAAGCCCATGGCATGCCAAGTTTCTTGATATTCAAATCCAGGGGTATCAGACATACCATTGCTAAGAAGTAGATACACAATGGAAAGAGAATATTTAGTAAGATGTTACATTAAGAAAACAAACCAGCAAGTCCATTCACAGCAAGTGAAAGCCTAACTTTAAAAGGATTCTACAACATGATCACGTTTAAACAAAAGTAAGCATCTTGAAAATTACATGAAAATTGTAAATGCTGAAAGTACAGAACACCCCTCGCTCATTCTATTGTTTCTACATTTAACAAATGTGTTTATATATACTATGGTATTTGACATAATCATAATGGCAAATGTCTATATTTCCCTTTCTCTCTTTCTCTATAGACATTGATGGTTTGAATGAGAATGGCCCCTACAGGCTCATATATTTGAACACTTTTTCCTTAGTATGTGGAATGATTTAGGGAAAGATTAGGAGTTGTGGCCTTATTGGAGGAGGTATATCACTTGGGGCAGGCTTTGAGGTTTCAAAAGCCCACACTAGGCCCGTCTCTTCCTGTGTCTGTCTGTCTGTCTGTCTGTCTGTCTCTCTCTGCTTCCTGCTTGTGGATCAGATACAAGCTCTTAGCTACTGCTCCAGCACCATGCCTGCCTGTCTGACGACACACTTCCCACCATGATGAAAATGGACTCACCCTCTGAAACTGTAAGCAAGCCCCCAATTAAATGCTTTCTTTTATAAGTCGCCTTGGTCATGGTATCTCTTTACAACGTATGGGAGTGTGTGTGTGTGTGTGTGTGTGTGTGTGTGTGTGTGTGTGTGTGTGTTTGTAATGTTTAACAATGAACATGCAGTGTAGTTTTGAGAAAGAAATATAGATTGAAGACAGGGAAAAGGTCAGGTGAGAAGGTCAGTCCTCAGGACTGCTGGCCGCCCTGGAAGCCATGTTAACCTGTGGATTGAACCCTGCGCTCTGCTGTGACCCCACCTTCTGTGACAGCACCAACTCCACCTTCCCGCTCATGTCATTTTCTGGCTTCTTCTGGTCCTGTTCTTCTGGTACCTCATCCTTCCTCTGTGGGCTGGAGGAAAACTCCACAAAGGCCACGGTCGGGCTGCATCGGGTCACAGTTGTGGTGAAATGCCGTGGCTCTGGAGGGAAGAAAAAGGAAACCATACAGAGGATCACTTCATTTCATCAGAGTCCTCCCTCCTGGGGACAAGCTGGGATACACAGCAAAGGGTCTGGGATGGCAGGATTCCCATCAAACTGCCCGACTATCTAAGACTGTTCTGAGCAGTCACGATTCACATCTGAGAACCACGTGACACCAAATATTTAACGACAGTGGGGCGGAATGTCCACAGTCCCGTCTGTCCGTGTGACTGGGTGACAAGCTAACTTTCCCTTGCTGTGTGAGCTGTTGTCCTTGCCCGGAGGCTAGAGGCTGACATGATGTGTCTTTTTCTACAGCTCCCACCAGGCAAGCACTGTTCCTCCATGGTCTCTGCTCTGATTCCTGCCTCCATGGTCTGCTGTGGGATGTTCTGTATGGCAAATGTGTTGCTCTAATTGGTTAGTAAATAAAACACTGATTGGCCAGTAGTCAGGCAGGAGGAAGGATAGGCGGGACAAGGAGGAGAAGAATTCTGGGAAGTGGAAGGCTGAGTCAGAGACACTGTCAGCCGCCACGATGACAAACAGCATGTGAAGATGCCGGTAAGCCACGAGCCATGTGGCAAGGTATAGATTTATGGAAATGGATTAATTTAAGCTGTAAGAACAGTTAGCAAGAAGCCTGCCACGGCCATACAGTTTGTAAGCAATATAAGTCTCTGTGTTTACTTGGTTGGGTCTGAGCGGCTGTGGGACTGGCGGGTGTCAGAGATTTGTCCTGACTGTGGGCCAGGCAGGAAAACTCTAGCTACAAAGGTTCTGACTTGCGCTCTTGCCCTGACCCCCTTTGATGGATGGACTGTGATCTGGGAATTCCAAGATGAACACTTTCCTCCCCGAGTTGATGTTTATCAACAGGGACTACAAAGCGACTACGACAACTCAGTGTTTGACTTATTTCTATAAAGGAATCAGGTATTTTTAATAAGCATGAAGACATACTTTTAGGAAATAAAATATCAGAGTACAAAAACCAACCAAACAAAAACCCTAAAACCCAAAGCCTGAGTTACTATTTTTATAATAGCAACGTTAATGCCATAGTGAGAACTTCTCCTCAGAGCCTCTAGGTGGCAGCACCACCACAGAGCCTGACGAGCCCCTGCCGTTTAGGAGGAGAAACCGGCATGATTCTATCACAAGTTACCAGGTTTTACCTGAAAACCAGCATGCCATGAAACAGACCTGCTGAGGACGGCTCCACGTCCTGTGTCCCCGACTTCCCACCACCGTTCTCGTCCTCTTGGCCATTTGACTCAGCTCCATCAGAGGCTGCCTGAAAAAGATTTTTTCCTCCCCTGAATAAACCAGACCCTTGAAAGTTCTGAAAAGCAAAGGCTATTTCCTCAATAATAATTTTCAGGCCAACAAGGTGGGCTGCCCACAAAAACTGTCTTCTGTTTCCAAGCAGCTCTACATTGGGGATCTACTTTGTTGGAAGGAGGCATCTGGGAGCGTGAACTAGTGGGCACCAGCATGCCACTGCCCCTGGCCCTCCCCTTACACATACATCCTCACTTCCTTGTCTTACCACCAAATCTCATAAGTCCAAGTTACCATCTGCTTGCTCCAGAATGCCTTTCAAGTTGGCTGCAGGTCCTATCACTAGCAGAGGGGATTTTGTTTTGATTTTTAAAGGATAAACCTCACAGTTGGCTGTCCTGGGCAGAGTTGCCTGTGCCTGCTCTTAACACTGTAGGTTTTATCCTCGAAGCTCTCGGGAGTTTCTATAGCCCTTTCTGCCCTTTCGTTCCGACAGCTGGGAACTAAGGTTAGTTTTTCTTCCCTCCGTCTTCCACTAATGGGTCCCCTTGGCACGGATGCCAGTCACCTGCCACACCACGGTCAAGTACACTCTCTCACAGCCGTGCCTCCCGCTGTCAGCTGTGTGCTTTTTACAACATCCGCTGCACAGCCACCCAAACGTTCATCAGATGGGCAACAGTGGAATGAATTACTCAGGACTGTGAAGGGAAGTACTACTCAGTCATTGAACATAAGATGCTGAGCAGGCTGGGGACATTGCTCAGTGGGAAAAGGCTTGCCTAGTGTTTGTGAGGCTGTGGACTTCTTGCAAAACAAACAAACAAACAAACAAACAAACATGCTATACAGTAGTGATGTGTGAAACTTGTTATTCAATGTGAAGTTAAAACATTTGAAGTTCATATATACATAGCATTATGTCTACATATATGAGATTGTGCATATGCTTATGTACATATAAATGTACTTGTTAGTACACGTATTAAAATATACAATGTACATACATTTATACTCATATATACATATACACACTTATGTGTGTGTATGATAAAAACAAAAGAAGACTAACATTGGAACAGTGGCGGCAGCGGGGAGAGGCAGCGGATAGCAACGGGAGGGGGGAGAATGAGAGCAATGGACAGTGTATGTATGTATGTGTCATAATGTCATCATGTTTCGTCATGAAGCCATCAGTCTGTTAACTAAAACAATAAAAACAGAAACAGAAAATGTCAATAGTGCTTATTTTTAAATGTGCATACATGTAGGGATGACCTTTCCATTTCTTTACCTATTCTTTCATATATTATAAGTGCTGGACAATCAGAAAACCATCCTGACATTCCACACTACCTTCACGGGGTAGGGGACTCACTCTAGAGTTGAGTCTGAAATTTTCCTTCTTTCCTGTCTCAGTTGCTCAATGAAAATAAGCGGAAGGTTAAACCAGATGTGTCTGGAGGAATGCTTGCGCCCAAGAGTGTAAGTCAATGACTCCTTTATTATTATTTTTCTTTTAGCAGAAGTTTTATGTAAAAGACTAAAGTTGAAATTTTAGTGTGTATAAAACATTTCATAAACTTTAAAGGGTTTTGAGACAAGAGCTAATATTGGTTTTCAGGAGAGGCATTATTAAGTTCTTCATAAAATACCTCTGAAGAGAAAACCAAGTCGTCCCCTGACATCCACAGGCACACCATGGCATACTGTGCCCTCATACAGGCATACACACACCCATAGATACACACACTATACATATATACACACACAAAATAAATGTAAAACTTTTAAAACATTAAATAAAGGAATTTTAAAGCAAAACCTTTCAAGCTTCTAAAAGACTTTAACACTAGTGGAAAAAAAACGTGTTTTTTTTGTTTTTGTTTTTGGAGTGTGAAATACTTGGAAATAGTCATAATTAGATTGGAATTTTCTTTTCTTTTTTTTTTTTTTTTTTTTTAGTTTTTCAAGACAGGGTTTCTCTGTGTAGCTTTGCGCCTTTCCTGGAACTCGCTTTGGAGACCAGGCTGGCCTCGAACTCACAGAGATCCACCTGCCTCTGCCTCCCAAGTGCTGGGATTAAAGGCGTGCGCCATCACCACCCAGCTAGATTGGAATTTTCTAGTGATGGATAATCATATATCAAGTTGGAAAGAGCACGATATCAAGTTAAAAATGTAGTTTTTTTTTCTTTTCCAGTACTGAGGACTCAACAGAGATTCCTACCCACAAGTCAAACACTACCACTGAGCCACACCCTGTTCCTAGCCCTTTCTTACTGTTCAAGTCAGGGTCTTGATAATTTATGCAGGCCATCTTTGAACTCACTCTGTATCCAGAAAGACCCTGCAATCCTCCTGCCTCAGCCTCTCAAACAGTTGAGACTAAGCTTATGTCTTGAGGCTGGCTTTTTTTTTTTTTTTTTTTTTTTTTTGGTTCTTTGAGACAGGGTTTCTCTGTGTAGCTTTGGAGCCTGTCCTGGAACTCGCTTTGTAGACCAGGCTGGCCTCGAATTCACATAGAACCACCACCTGGTGACGCTGGCTTTAAAAACCCTTGTAATTTCAGCCATTGCAGAGGCTGAGTCAGGATCACAAGTTCAAGCTCAGTACAGGCAAATTAGTAACACCCTATCACAAGAAAAACTGAAAAGGCCTAAGGGTGTAGATAAATGGTAGATTGCTTGTATAGCATGTACAAGGCTCTGGATTTGATCCTCAGTATCACAAAAAAATAATAAATAAAAAGAAAGAAAGAAAGAAAAAAAGAAACAAACATTCCCCAAACACACTGCCAATAAGAAAAATACAGTCAGAAAATAACCATATTGATATTATTTAATGGATTTTTAATATATTTAATCATACCAACAAGCTTGAATTGAATCCCTTTAAAAAAAAATGAATGAGCAGAGTGGCACATGGATGAGGATGGCACATGCCTTTAGTCTCCGCACTAGGAGGCAGAGGCAGGTGGATCTCTGTGAGTTTGAGGCCAACCAGAGTGAGATTCAGGACAGCCAGGGCTACACAGAGAAACCCTGTCTCGAAAAACAAAAACAGTAACAACAAAAAGAAACAAAGGAAGAAATATAATGAATAAAAGTAACCAGACCAAAAATCTCTTTTACTATATTGAGGTTGTGTGTGTGTGTGTGTGTGTGTGTGTGTGTGTGTGTGTGTGTGTACTCGTATTTACAGGAATCACTGAAGAACAACCAGCTCAACACTGTAAAAGAATAAGCTAGATTTTATCTTTGAAGTTCACTCTGATACAAACAGAAACATTACTACAGGTGGTATTTTTGCTTTATGAGGTTAATATATAAAATGCTGGCAGGACTACTGATCCTTGGCTTCCTTCTCCTAACGGACAAAATTACAGAAAACCGTCTAAGGCTGGAAAACAAATTTGCAGCTAAATACTGACGAAGGAGCCTCTCGGGAACACTCATGTTCCCAACTCCTAGAACCGAGTAACTGCGCACAGGGCCCAGAGACTAAAATGAACAAAGAGATGGACATATTTTCTGCGATCTAAGATGCCATCCAGTTCAAGCTGTACTATTTCAGGCACTCCTAAGAAAGAAAGCACACTGCTAAGCATGGCACACTACGGATTGCAAGAGTAGTCTTGATTTGTAGACGTTAAAACACAGGAAGGGTGCCACTTGAACTCAATGAAATGAGAGCATTCCCGAAGCCTGTCTGCCATAATGCATAATGCAAACAGGACAAGATCCACCAGCATTAACTACTTCAACCAGGGTTATGTAACTGGCATATCACGTTCCAGTAATATTTTAGTTATGCATGACTAACAGACCTACCTTTGAGAGTTCTCAGATTGCTGAGGTATTTCTATACAGTTCAACACCCACCCTGAAATGATGGTCAAGAACCACCCTTACATTCTGCTGTCCACTGTGGTTCAATAATGGCTGTAATACAGTTACCATGATCAATATTGATCTCATTTAGCAGGTTTCAGTGCCACTGAGTCACTTGATATGGATGAGGTCACTGACCCATCAGGGTGAACTTAAGGGCAGTATCAACATGGTTCTCTTTACACAGGCTGAAGGTAAGTGGCTTGCCAGGGTGCCAGTGCCAGGCAGGAGAGGCAGGAGCTCTGAGCTGCGCTAATGACCTCCCCATGCTACCATCCGGCTTTAGAGTCATACTTACCACCATGGTCTCCCAGCATTTAGTTTTTGATCCCATAGAAGTAACTAAATACTCAAGACTTTCAAGTTCACTGTAAAAACAATTCAAGCTGCCATTTCTAATCCTGTCCTTTCCTCTACCTCTGCTCATTACTCAGCAAAAGGTTAGGACTTGCTGGACTCCTTCAGAGCAGAAGGCAGTTTGGTCAGCTCCTCTTCTCAGAGAAGCCAAGACCATAACTGCCCCTGGCCAGCAAGCCATCCCTGGGTTCAAAGTGGCAAGGGTGGACACACAACCCCTATCAGGAAAACGAATGCTTTCTAAATAAATGCATTAACTATGCAATCCATGCTCAAAAGCTAGGTTTAAATGCGTAGTATACACCCAAATCAAGTTACCACTAGCAAAATATTCAGGGAAAATTGAGAGAAAAAAGAAGCTGTAACTCAGTTTAAGAACTCTTTATATGTACCAAGAAAAAGAAAAAGCTATATTTAAGCTATTTAAAAAAATGAACTTAACAGTGGTAAATGTAATGGGCACCTTACATTTTTTTTCTATAAAGTTTTCTGCGTTCTGCAACATACAAAGACTATCTGTAACGAAGGGAAATTCCCAAAGCTGGTTTAATTAACTCAGGTCTGGCTTCTCCATCCTGAATGCTTGTTATTTCTGTACTAATGGCATTACGTCCAAGGAAATGAGTTCAAAGTTGGCAGTCTTAACCAGCCCTGATAGAATCAGAGGTTTGCTTTAGAAACACATCCTTGCTGGCACATGTGCCTTCTGACTTGGGCTTCCCCTTGGTTGCAGCTCAGAAGAGAGGTCTTCCCGCCTCCAACCG